TACTGACATTTCTGATCTTTGAAGAGAGATTTATCGCTTCCTGTGGCAATACTGAATACTCAAAAGGTACTCATTGATTACTTGATCCTTGCCTACCTTCCATATTAATGCACTCCTCTCCTTCCTGCTCAGGGATGACCACTGTTGACTCCTACCTACTCGGAGCTACTAGAGCATTATATGAGCCCACAGTAGTTTATCCTTGGCTCATGTAGTGTGTGTGGAAATAGTTTTGTCCTGTTGAAGCAGCTGCATCCTCTCCCTGTTCTACCAGCGTTTTGACCTACACAACAGAAGAATTTCGCAGCTTCCATGACAGTATGATGGAGCAGACTATCAAATATTCAGATCTCTGACTTGCCTGACATGACATCTGTAATGTTTTTGGAGACATCTGCTTTGAGTGGCTTGTGCAAACAAATCCTTAGGGATGTTTTCTCTAGCTCCACCAGATTCAAAGAAGGGAGATAGCACTGAATGTTTGTCCTGCTCTGTTATCAGCCTCTCTCTCCCTGGTTAGAAGGACTTGATCCAGTGCAGTTGTTTACCAGTGTTCCTGTCCCAGAGCTGCCTTTTCAAATGGCCTGTCCCGTGCTGGCAGCCAGGGAGCCTCTTCAGCCACCTTCTGGCACTCAGGATAGAACCTCTTGTTAAGATTTCTGGAGAAAAGAGCACACAGTAGTCCATGTTTTTTCACAGACAGATTTTTCTTTTTTCTTAGTTTGGATTTACTCCTGGTCATCCTGGTTTTTTTCCTGCAAATTAAAAAAAAAAGAGTTCCTTTGTCAGTACTGCTTTCACCTTTTCTATCAGAAGTTCGTAAAGGAGCCGTGTCTGATGTTGGTCTTTGTACAGCCCTTTTTTGACTTCACATGGCATGTGGTTTTGTGTCTCCTAAACAATGATACACTAAGCCTGTGCTCTTCTAATGCTGCTCTCTTAAATATTAGGCAGCTGTGCATATTCACTGCTCTGGAAGTGCAGGTCAGTAGTAGATTGCCGAGAATGACTGTACTTCTGCACATTAGCTAAAGAATTGGTTGGTCTTTGAGATCTTTCAAAAGTGTTCCAGGTCCTCTAGAACTTTGTGTGGAAGCGAATGTTGAGACCACTAAATCTCTCTGTCCTAAGAGCATCATAGTTATAACTGCATAGATGGGGAAAAAAAAAACACCTCACTGTTTTTGTTTGAAGTTTAAGTATATCCTTCACTTTATATAGTGCCAGAGAATGGTAAAATAACTTGGGTTGGAAGGGACTTCTTGTGGTACCCTGGTTCAACCCCTGGCTCATTGCAGGCCCACCTTTGAAGTTAGATGAGGTTGTTTAGGGTTGCATTTAGCAAATATTTTCAATACCTGAAAGATTAGGGTTTCTGCAACATCTCTCAGCAACCTGCTCCAACAACCGCTCTTGTCGTTGCAGCTTGCCTGTTGCATCTTGTCCTCTTCGCTGTGTACCTCCGAGAGCGTGGTTTCATCTTCTCTCTGCTCTCCTGTTAGGTAGTTGAAGGTAGCAGCAAGATCTCCCCTTAGCCTTCTCGCGGCTGTGTCAGTCTGCTATGGTAGGTCTTGTACTCCAGCCACCTTATCCTTTTGGCAGCCCTCCAGTGGGCTCTTTCCAGTGCATGTCAGTGTACTAAGCGCAAAAAATGGACATGTGGAGCACTTAAAATTCCCAGCTTATCCCTGTTTTCCTTCAAGTTTGTCAAACCTTCCCCATATGTCAAAGATCTGATTGGAATGTAAATTCATGCAAGGTATTTTCTGCCAGAACATAGGCTGGTTGCTGTAACAGAAGTAGGCTGCCTTTCTGGTAAAGGAGGGTAAGAGCGGCTTTTCGTCCCTCTGGGACGTTACCATGGAGTGGATCAGAACAAGCATCCCTTGCATTTTTGAAGTATGTATGTTTGTAGTGGTGGACAGCTTTGCTCCTTGGGTTGTACATTAGCAGGCTGATGTTCCCTGAGCAGTGTCTGAGCTGCTTGCTTCAAAACATCTCTCAAAAATCTCCAGGAAGATACTTCCTTCAACAGAGTCAATACCTCGTGAAGAGAGAAGAGTGATGGTTGTACTTTGCATTAACCCACCATCAATTGTAATCTGCAGAGTTCAGTCTGTAGATTTCCCTGTAAACTATTCCGAATTTGTGTTGTCTCTGAAGAACAATTATTATTGGTTTGTTTCTCTTTTTCCCCTACTGAGAGGTTGGGTACAATCTTTGTTCAAAATGGATCTCTCTGCTTGCCAAGCAGAAGATTAGTTTTCTTCCAATTTTCAAAACCTCTTTCTTGATTCAGAATCTCAGGAAAACCGAAGTGAAGGTAAAAGAATAGCAGTAGATAAAGGGATGCTTCCATTCAGTTAAATGTGCTCTATTGAAGAGTCCTGGTGTGTTATGTCCAGCGACGAAACTTCTGAGATGATGTTTCCATGCAGGAGGTGTTCATTTTGCATCAAGCGTCTTCTCAATGGAGAAGTCCTTTGCTCTTAAGGCTTTTCTGTGTTAATTTACAAGTTTTTAGGTTTTAGGAGATAGCAGTCTTCTCCAGGGTCACAAGTCAGGAATAAAAATTCAGCTACTAACAGTAACGATTTTATATGCCTACCACTGTGCGCAAGCGCTCATCAGCACAGAACCTGGCAAGGATGCAGCTTGCATCAGCAGCCTTAACGTGCCCTTAGCGGCAGAGCACACCCTGTGTAGCCTTTGAGCATCCCCTTTTCTGGTCAGTGAATGTATATAGCATGTGTGATTTTTATGTTACAGTGTGTTAAATAAAAAGAGATCCATTCCAAATGCTTACTATCACTGAGCATCCACAGCTCCAACAAACTTCTTACCAGTAGCGCTCTTTGAAGCTGATAAACAATTAAAAATAGACTTGCCAAGGGAAGAATGCAGCCAGAACCCAGACTTGAGTGCCTTGCACTGAATAAATGACAGAAAGAACCAGGGGGGGATAGTACTTAAATTCAAAGGGCATAGAACTTAGTGTGAAATTCAACACTGCTCGGCCTGCATCGCTGAGTGCAGCAACAATGTGTGCCTCGCTTGAGAATGACTCCTGTGGAGTGGCTTACCATTCCCAGGGTTTTTAGCGTGTATGCACATGGAGGACTGAAAAGGATTACAGATGAGAAATAATGTGCTGTCTCGTAAATATTGTAGTTCTGTAAATGTGGATATTTTAAGCCCTTCATTGATTAGGGTAACGAAGCTAGCTTTGCGACTCCTCAAGGAACTGAGGCTGTTCTTCCTCACAGTAACAAGGTTAAAGTCTGTTAGAGCTGATTTTGTTACTTTATTGATAGCATTACTCACTGCATTGACAGTATATAACGGGTTTTACTTGCTCAAATTTATAACCCTGTAACCATAAAAACTGCTTTTGTTGTGATTTGGTATTCTGCAGCACAGGAGGAAAAGGACATCTGAAGTAGGCATAACCAGCTCTAAAATGTCATACCACATTCTTAATTTGACAGCAAGGCTTACAGAGTTTTAGGTTGTAAGTACCATGAATGCTAAAGAGTTTGAGAAGAAGTAGAGAGAGGAGTTTGTAAAATGAGTTCATTCTTGCTGGTAAAGTATTAAAGCTGATTAAAGTACTCTCTTGGTTTTGTTTAAGTTTTTTTTGATAAGTGAAGGGGTCCTCAAGCAGTTATGAGTTATCATCTTAGAAGTGTGGGACTATACGTTTTCTGTTAAACAAGCATTAAACATTCAAACAGTGCTTTCTCTTTTATGTAGTTTCACTGGTACAACTCATCTGTTCTGTTCCAGAGTGTGTTCTGACATCAAGAGCTGCATGAAGAATAGCCAGCATGAAGAGAACAAATCAGTCCAGGCAGAAGTGCAGAAGCGTCAAGAACATAAATGTAAATTAAGGGGTTTTAAAGTGTGGTATGCGTTCCATGCTGAGGCAGTAGTTTCCTGAACGCTTTAAAGCTTACACTGTGCTGGAAGAAACCCTCTTGCTGTGCTTCTCTTTTGGCTGGTTTGAGTGTTTGGGCACACGAGAGACCTGGTCTGGATGGAAATAAGTATCTTTTTGGCTGGGTGAGTTCTGGCCTAGATTAGTTTCCTGACCAGTTAGCTGCAGTCTTAGAAACGCTTGTGCTAACATGAGGAGTAGTTGGGGTGATGTGGGTGGGAACGAGTGGGCAGTTTAAAGGCAGGAATGGCTTCTCTGACAGTCAGTGTGTTTGAAAATGAGGCCTTGCTCCTGGTGGAGAGGGGTTTTTTCCTCCAAGGTCAAGTGCCTGTGTGGGAATTTTCTTTTTTGCTTCATCTGCTTTGAAGGCTGATTATAAAGGCGCTTCTAGGGCTTGGTGTATGAGAGTATTTGACACGTGAGTCCAAATTAATTAGATGTGTGTGTATAAAATGGATTAAACTACATAAAACTTCAGCATGAGGACCACATTCTAGGGTTCCACCTGGGTTTAATTCTGTTTACGTATGTTCTAACATCTATTAATTCAGATGAACTTTTCTGCGATTCAAAAACAAGGATGGCTTAATTTAGGCTCCAGGAGTCTGTCTTGTCCACCACCCTTCTGCCATAAGTGTTTTCAAAACTCTCCTGGAATTTCCTGTCCCTGCTGCAACAACAGTAAACCACACCTCTACATTTGACAGCCTGACATTAAGCTAAGGAGCACTGACTTGAGTTTTCCTTATATGCAGCAGGGTGTAATTTGTGAAATGACTAATAGTTACTGCCTGGGCAGCTGTTGTTCATGGGGTAGGACCTGTGTTACCATCCCAGGGATGCTCCTCTTCTTCCTGCTTTCTGATCCAAAGCCTGAATTCCCTTGTCCAGGCAGAGTATCACTGCTTAATGAGTACTCAGGCAAAGATAAAAGGAGTAGCTGTTCCCCAAAAGTTTGTTCTTGGATACTTACTCACCTAGATGAAGCCTTAGAGGAAAACAAAATCACAGTACTTGTAGCTCGTTATGAAGTCTCCAGAATGCCATGCAACTTGTTGCACTGGTCTCTTTTCAGGCGTGGTAGTGTCTGCTGTTGCCACTTTGATATCATGTAACACTGCATCAGGTAGCCAAAGAACCCTGCTCTGGCCTGATTGATTTTGAAGAAAGACCTTTTTCTTGCTGGTAGCAGTTTGCCAGTAGCCTAAAGGAAACCCTAGATTAATGGGGGGGGGGGGAGGAATTGACTGCAAAAACTTGTTGATAAAGAAATCTATTAACCTTTTCCAGTGTCCACCTACTGTATTAGACTTTACTTCTTGTGGCAGTGGATTTTACAGCCTGTTTTAACCTGAAATAGTTTTCTGTTGTTCTCAATGTATTACCTGCAGTTATTCCAGTGGTCTTTTGTGAGCTCCTTTACCGCTTTTGTGTATTGAAGAACTGTAAAAGGGAGGCACTGATTAGTTTTATGATCCAGCCTCAGCTGAAAACCTCTGAATTCCTCTGAGAGGGCTACTTCTAAAGTGTAAATATTTCTGTATTTCACATCTGGTAAAATGGCATGTTTACCCTTCTGAAATGATCTGCCAGGTTAGCAAAATAAAATGTCTCTTAATATGTTAAAAAGGGGACCATTAAAAAAAAAAATGCTTGATATGGAAATGTTTAATTCATATTTCCCCACTTTCACTAGAGAATTCTCTAAGTGGGACTAAGGAACTAGAGTCGTCATGAGACCGCACTAGCAGTTGTTGGAAGGAGTAGGGAAAACTTAAAAAGATGTTAATAAGAAGGAGAAATTGAGAAAAAGTGGAACAAGGTTTAAGAACAAGAATATTTACTAAAATTATCCCTACTGCTTTCTCAATGGAACTTTGAATTCTCTAAATCTAAAGGAAAAACAAGGAAAAATTTGTACTTCTAGAAATAAAGCTGAAATGCTTCTACCAGACTGCTTGCTTCATTAAGGCTTACCATGTCCAGTTAAAAGTTATTATAGCCCAAGTGACTTGAGTATGTGTGGGATTTGTTATCAGTAACTGCAGAGATTTATTTTTCTTCATAATGCAAGTTTCGGGCAGTTGATGTTCCTGTATTCTGCTTTCCTCTCCATTGTAGGCTACAGCACAACTACCAGTATTAGTTTTGGAAGAGCTGTGATTCTGGGGCCTCTTGCCTCTGTCAGGTGCAATGATTAAGAGGGAGCTTGTTCTGCAAACAGCTGAGGAATGATATGGAATTGAGTTTCCTTCTGTCTTGCTGGGGGACCCTGTATATATACTCTCTTTTCACGTCTTGCACATGTCTTCCCCAGAGTTCTTGATACAAAGTAACAGGTTAACTTTATCCTGAGCAATTGCAGAAAACCATACATGTGTGCTGACTGAAAAATAAGGGTCAGTGCTGACTGAAGGGTCTCATCACTTGGAATTATTTGATGTGACATGATGAATGTTTGAAAGAGCTCTGCTAAGATCCCTGGGCAGGAGCAGCAACTAGGAAGATTACTCCTGTAGGTTACAGAAGGAGAGGAAAAAAAGAAAAGGGGGAGCGTGGGGGAAAAAAAAGGCTGGAGGTACTTGTAGAAATGTCACGGGATGCATTTTGATTCTAATTCTGCTTGAAGCTAGCTGTGGGCAATGAATGTCCTGTGGGCAGGGTGAAGGCTTGGCTGTGCTCTTGGGTGTTCATAAGGGTAAAGATTATTTTTGATAGCATCTGGCCCAAAATGTGCTACTTTCACATAGGTGTAAGTAAAAGGTAACTTTGGTTCGCAATTAGCAACTCATTGAAGAAAATGCTTGTGTGTGGGTTTGATCGCAGTTAAATGCTATTGACTTTAAACAGGCAGGTGCCCACAAACTGGCTGTGACCCAGAGGGTTGCAGGGTGCTTGAGAGAAAGCAATTTCACTGGAGGGTGTGCTTGGTGGATGATAGGACAGCACAAAGTGGAGGGATGCAGCTCAGTGTAGCCACCTAGCTTCTGGCATACAAGGTTCTTAGTGCTGCGGTTTGCCTTGAGCTTTAAGCTGGCACTGGCTGCTTAAGGTGGCCCTAGCACTTGTAACCTGCTCCCTTACCTCTGTTTGCCCAAGTCTTCATGTGGGGAATCTGGTCAGGAACTGAACATGTTACAATGTAATTAACTCATTTTCCCTGCATTAGTTTTCAGTTGAAATTGGTTCTCAGTCAAGTTCATTATGGCAAGTGAATTGTTCTGTCAATGCAAAGGCAGGGAAAAGGTTGAGAGCAGCTCTTTCAGCAGCAGCGCTGTCTTTTTTCTGTCTTACAAGTAGTATGAAACCATTTTGCAAGTTAATAATCTGGTCTCCTATCTGGTTAGTGGGGAGAAAGGAGGGTTCCTCTAGATGGTAATTTAGTGTAGGGATCCATTTAAAAGCTTTGAATCGCTCTCTGGAAGAATGTACACTTCTCCCTGCTCTCTTTAGGGAGGCCAGCCTTCCGGCACAGGCACCTTGGTTAGGTAACAGCCAGCAGGACTCCAGACACTACCAAAGCTGTCTGTCTGCATCCGATCCCTTTGCAGGGTTAGTACTTAAGGAAACCATCCTTCTCCAGCTCTGTTGGCAATTGCAGCTGTCATTCCTGTAGCTGTTTTTACATATTTCTTGGAGACATTTCACACTGATGGGCCCTTCTCATACATAGCAAAAGCACAAGCATTTATTAACCCATGATGGAAGTTCTGTCGCTCTTCTGTTCTAGGTTTCTTGGTTTTCCTTACTCTCGCCAAGATGCTAGGATATTTCTCCAAGTAATTACTTGATAGTCAATTAATGAGACTGCTTTTTTTAAAAAAAAAAAAGTTAAAGCTTTGATAGTTGTTTGTGAAGCAGTACACTTGATTTTTTTGGTCGTCTTTTTTTTTTTTTTTTTCAGTGCCAGTGTTGTAAGTGGCAAGGAGGAAATGAGAAAACTGCTGGAGATGGGTGTAGCAGCTGTAACCAGTGGATATGGAATTTAATGCAGTAGGCAAACAAAAGCTTTAGGTTTCCAGCATGAGAAAAGTATTTAATAAAAGCAACTTACCCCAGCTTTCTAGTTTCTGCTGTTGGTAGTAAATCTTTCATCTTTTGCTTGTGATAGCACTGTGAAAATATCCTCTCCCAAGTTATTCACGGGATGCTACCTGTTCCTGAAAGTTTTGTGACCTTTGTCAAGTAGTCTTGCATTCCTAGGCTTATCTTTAAAAGAAAGAAGAGGATAAAGTTCGTCCCCTCTTTTATCTGTTCAACACAAGATTCTTAAGCTTTTGTATGACTTTCCTTTCTAATTTTCTGTAGTGCTGTAGCAGTTAGCAACAGAAATGGAGGGCGTATGTCCCTATACAGAGCTCTTTGAGCATCTTCCTACCACTTTCCCAATTACGTTTGGATTTTTTGATTCTAGTGCCACACTGTGTGGAGAACAGGAATTGGCATGCTTTTAAAGTGAGAGAGGGGACCTTTGAGAGGAGATTGCACGTACACCTCGTTCATGTTCAGATTTGCTGCCTGTCTAGGGGTACTACTGATATGCCCCAGAGATTGGGAGCAATTGTAGTGAATAGTGAATAACAGCAGCACTGGGACAGGCTATGCTTAATGCTTTGTGGTTTATATATGTCTGTTTGCTTTTGAAAAAGTTATATTCATGCCATGTTCATCTCTTAATCAGGGAAGCCCTGCTGGAGGAAAAGCAAAGGCTGCCTACCTGTTAAACTGCCTGATCTTTGACTGTGCTTAGTTGGGAGGCTTTTTGGAAGAAGGATATGGGCAATTCACCATGGGGAGGGCGAGTGGCCAAGCACTCCTGCAGTTACTTTGCATCTGCTAGTGTCCTTGAATACTTATAGGCATACATACTGACTGCAAGCAGAAAAAAACGCCCATTTATTTATAAACCCCATTGGATGTATTTTTTTAATCTTAACTGTAGATTGTTAGATGAAGTCTTTGCTTATTCCTCTGTTCAGTTTTCAAAGCTTCACAGGTTATGCAGGAGAAACTTAACTCTCCTGTGTTTTAACATAAAGCTTTATTTCCCCGCCTGTATCGATGTTAATAAGTGGGTAATCCATAGGTGTCAAAGCTATGGCAATCTTGGAACAGGATGTGTATGTGGATTGACTTGAGTTCAAAGTCTGAACGTGTTGCAGGGTGGGTTTCTTCTGCATGCACTAATGTAGCTGCTGCTGTTTTCATTATTTTATGAATGCCAAAAATTTATTGACAGCATTTGGCTTCATTTTTTCTATTGATTTTTTTAAATTTTTTTTTTTTCTCAAGTCAGCTGTATATTACAGCATTGAAGCTACTTTTCAATTGCTTTGAATATCCCCCAGTTTTTAATGAGACTGCCTTGTTTGGCAAAAAAATAAATATTTTGCTGTTAGTTGGTCCATGAAGCTTGATGCAGTTTGGTGTTTGGTTTTTTTAACATTGGTTGAGAGGCAGGCAAATGCCTCTTTGTGACAGTAGCTTTATTATAAACAACCCAGCTAGAAAAACATGCAATGGCATCAGCCATCCTAATATCTAAACATCTGTCTCTGGGTTTGTATCGTCTGCATTGAAACTTACGGCAGGTTGTCTTTTAATGCTTCTACAACTAAGATTAATGCTGTTGTAGGGCTATGTTAGTTGAGCGCTATGACTTTTTGTGTTGATGTGGTGGGTTTTATCAGCCTTGCTACACTGGAGGTTTTCTTAAATCATGTTCCTGAACATGAAGAGTTTATACCTTCAAGCTGGTTAAGTGCAAGGTTTTTGGAAAAGGACCCAGAATGGTGAAGTGTTGTCTCACAGTCGGGCTGAGGCTTTCTCCTGTGCCGCAGTTAGTAGGGCTGTCGGCATTAAATTACTTTCTCTCAAGCAACCTCTTGATTCCTTTCATTTGAATAAGGTGTCGGTTGTATCAAATGCACACCCCATCTTATTTCTACTTGTTTCATTTTTTTTAGATGAGCTGCCCATCAGTTATTTGAGAAAGCTTAGATCTGTTATTTGGACGTCACAGCTTTTTACCTGGCTGATTGGGTTGTGACAGCGCATTGAGCTGTTTAGTGATGTACTGTTTCTTGTTGGAGTTTGTAGAGCCCATTGAGTGAGCGTGTAAAGACTTAGCTTGAGCTATTACATGGGAGTTGTGGCTTTGACTTCAGATGGCCTTTGGTCTTTTCCTTGGCCACTCTCCTTATTCTGGAAGCTCTTTTGGGTTTTTTCGGTCTTTATTTACCAAATCATCTTCTGTTAACCTGCTGCTTTGTTTTCCTTTTTTTAGATTCAGTCATTGTGGAACTAAGCTATTGGTATAAGGTACAATAACTGGTAGGAAGAGAGCTGAAGATAAAAGCCAGAAATAAAAGGTTGGGAGAATGGTAAGACAAAAAATATGTTCAGCAGTTTTTATTCCTAGTGTTCCACTATAATGGTCTTAGTTGTACCAAATGGCGCATGTTCTCTGAAATACGGGAAACTTTTTCTCAGAACTTGGCTGGGTATTTTCTCCAATAAATATAAAACTTTCCTCTAAAACTTGTTTTGAAAAAGGAGGATTAAGTTTATAAAAAAAAAAAATAGAGAAAGGAAAAGAGCTAGCAAATACTTTAAGACAGAATGATTCAGCAGTGACATGGACAGGCAGTGCAAAGCTCACTGCAGCTGGAGAGTCTTTCCAGAGAGTTTATTTAATATTAATAGGAAAGAGCCCATACATTTTGCCTAGCCCCTTCTCAAGTTTAGAGCCCATCCTGTGTCCCCCACAGCTGTAGAAGTATTTTAATTTGAAAATCCACACTTTCTTGAGAAGAAGTCTTGGCAGCTTGGTAGGGTTTTTGAGCTGGCCAAGACATCAATCGAGACTCCTTCTGTACATTTCTGTATTTTTATAGTACGTTGCTAATATAACCTACAGTGGGGTGTAGTTTTCTTTCAAGTACTGTTAACATTTCCCCGCTGGCAAGAGCCTGGCTTAAAACCTGTCATTTTCAGATTAATTTACTTTTTACTAAGAGGAACAGACTGTTCCATAGCCTGGAACAAGCAGGAGTAAATGCTCATCCATCTGCTGAATTTTGGAGTACAGGAGGTCCCAGGCAGAATGAAGTAGAGGGCAGTGGAGGCGGAGGTGGCAGGACACCGTCCCGGCTGCGCCGCTGCAGTGCGTGTCGCTCGCCGCTGGAGGACAGCCGTGCTTCACTGGGCCTGCTGCTCTGGGGTCTGGCTTTCACAGGAGGATGTTGCGAGTAGAGACAGGTAACTAGACTAAGAGATAAGCGTCTCTAAAATAGGAGAAGGAGACGGAAGAAATAGGGGTGAGTTAGTTTCTTTACTGAATGGGTGCAAGAGTCCTTCTGCGTATTTCACACATTGAGCATCCTTTGAACAAAGTCGTGCCT